TGTACTGTAACACTGTTCGTTAATACAATGTACATTTTCTTTAATTGAGTTATATTTTTAATTGAGCATTTTTCTGATAAGTCAAGTTAAGAATCATAGCTTTAAACAACAATATTATTATCAATATTGTACCTGGTCAAAATATTTGTACAAACTGCTTAGTCAAATTAAAAGTTTTCACTGAAATTAATAATGAAAACATTGATATTGCTGATGATAGCACAAATGAAAGCAAAAAACATAGAAAACGAATTTAACATTCAACATGAAGCTGATACAAATAAAAGCAAACAAGATTGTCTTAGCATAATTGGTTTGTCACTGGTTAAGTTTCACGGAGCGCCATATAATCAAGCGACTTTAGAAAAGCCATTTGTAAATAGCGTTGGGAAAAGAAAACCTAAAACTATAACAACAGCTTTCAAAGAAAAGTTATCAAGTTCTTAGAAAATTCCATTGATAGAAACTGAAGATTTTGATAATGAATATATTTTTGATTTGAAAATTCCATTAATAGAAACTGAAGATTTTGATTTTAAACTGAATTTCTTAATTTGAAAAAAAATTTTCTCGTTTTAAAAAAAATGCTAGTTTTGATGAACGATAAACGTAAAAAATGTTCTTCATTTTGGGACAAGACCTAAGTGTTGGATTTGTGCTTACAAGAATAGTTAAATGAGGCAGCCAGTGAGTATTTTGGTGCTTCAAAAAATTTGATAATAAAAACTATATCTTGAGCATAGAAAATTCTCTTTCACAAACGATGTAAAATGTAAAATCTAATAAATACTTTATTAAAAATGTTTATGAAGATGGTAAAAACTTTTGTCAGATGCCTGGTCAAAAGGATTTTGTAAGTATTAGTTGAAATGTCTATATGCAAGAGCGACTACTTTTATCAACCTTAAAAGAGTTATTTAAAGCAAAAGAAGCTCAGCATTGTAATATGATCTACTTTTTTGGTGGCTATTCATCTCAATACAAAAACTGTAAAAATATTTTTGACCTATGTCAGCATAAATCAGACTTTGGGATAGATGCAAAACGGGTTTTCTTTGTAAACCAACCATGGAAAACAACCTTGTGATAATATAAGAGAAATAATAAAATGGCTTATAGCTAATACTATTTTGCAGAGAATTTTTACAAATCAAATATAAAACTCACGTGATATGTTTACAAATTGCATTACTAACATCAAAGGTATAACTTTTTTTTTTTGTTTTAAGTAATAGTCTGATAGCAACAAGAATATTACATTCTGAACGATTTAAAAATGGAGAAACAATACTAGGAACTAGAGACTTTCATGAATCTATTAGTTTGTCAAAATGAAGATTGATATAATACTGCAGTGATGACGCTATGCCTAGTTTACTTACAAGTTTAAAAATTGTGAGATGTAAGGTGATGTGCAAAGTTGATGTGGAATTCAAATTTATGCACCAGCATGGCCCTTAAATTTTGCTTGCTTCCTTGTACCAATTATTACTTTGCATGTCTATGATATATATATATGACAACATTTTAAATTTGTAAAAAAAAAAATTATTTTGTTTTGTTTTACAGTTCAAAGAAAAACAAAAGAATGTTTGAAGTTCACTAATTTGTATAAAAATTTGTCAGTTCATAAAAACACAGAATTCAAAAAAAGAATTATTAGTGTGTTTTAATATTTTAAAATGAGTTTATTTATGGACATAGTAACTATGGATATTGCAGTTTAACACCTAAGTGAAAACACCTCATTTTTTACTGGCTTTAAGTGAAAATACCTGTTTTTATTATTTAATAATTTTAAAATAAGCTTATAAAATGTGTTGTAGTTATTCACATAAGTTGAGAATATCTTTTACTTTCTGGTTGTACCCAAACATTATTTTAACATTATCTTGTGTCTCAATCTCAATATACTTACTATCAAAAATAAAAATTAATTTTTGTAGATATGTAAGTCAAAAAACAGCTCAGGTTTTTTTTTTTTTTTTTTTTTTTTTTTTTTTTTTTTTTTTTGAGATGTTTATATATACTTTAAGAATATGAAGTTTAGAAATAAATTGATCATAACCTTTTCTGCAATTCTACTTAAGGTAAACATGTTTACTTTGAATTCTTCTTAAGGTAAACATGTTTACTTTGAATTCTTATAATAGTAAACATGTTTACTCTGAATTTTTCTTAAGGTTAAAATGTTTACTTTAAACTCTTCTTAAGGTAACTTAAGGTTACTTTTAAACATGTTTACTTTTAAATTATATTTAAAATGCCAAATTACACTTATTAGTTTATTAATAAATAAATAAACTTATAATTTCTGAGTATAATTTCATGGTTTAGCATCTAAAAATATGTGGAAAACTTAAAATCATGAAATAATTTAGTTAATGTAACAACGTATGTATCGAAGCTTACCTGTTACTAAAGACTTTGCTAGGGAAGCATGATAAGAAAAAATGTTACTTAGGGGGCATCCATAAAGGACGTCATCCAAATAGGGGAGGAGGGGGTCGAATTAAAAAAGACAAAAAAGGACAAAGGGAGGGGAGAAGGTTGTCAGAAAAGGACGTCTTTTTATATATTTTTTATTTTAGTTTAATTAACATGGAAAATTACGTAAACATGTGTTTTTGAGAAGATAATGTATGAGAATATTTTCAATTTTATTATTTAAAGGTGTAGCAGCAAATTCAAACATTGCAAGATGAAATAAATTTTTTTGGAGTTAAAATCAGGGAGGGGGGTCAGAATTTTATGACGTCCTTTTCCAGGGAGTATAGGGAAAAAGGACAACCTGTGACAAAGGGGGGAGGGGTCGAAATTGGCTAAAAAATGGTGACGTCCTTTATAGATAGCCCCTTAGTTTTATATTTCAAACGAGCATAACTTCTAAAATATTCCGATTTGTTAAAAAGAATTTTGGGGAATTCTTTTCATTCTAAAAATCAAGTAATTTAGAGATAGTGGGTTATTTTTTTGAATTTTTGTTGTTGTTAACAACAAACGTTTTGACACGGGATTTACCTTCCACAACATGCACAAAAATGTTTGAACCCGAGGTTGCTTTGAATTCGTATGTGGCTGTTTTAAAACATTACCGGTAAAGAATTAAAAAAAACTAGATTTAAAAATTTCTTTAAATAAATAGATGTAGTTTTAGAACATTTTTATTCTTTTTTTACTAGATATTTCTATTGCCACATTTTATACCTATTTTAGCAGTTTAATATTTGACAATATTTGAAGCTTATAATCTAAATCAAAATCTAAAAAATCAGCTAAATACAATTTTCAAAAAGGTGATTACAACACTATACAATCAGATTTGCAAGATATAAAGAGGTATATGCTTGCCAAATTCAAGATAATGAAGTATTCTGGCAAATTATTTGTTAATATTTAAACTCATCTATTTTTGTACATGTTGCAGTATATTGCTATAAAAAAAATAACTTTCAACCTTTAGTCATATGGAAATTAACCTCTAAATAACGCATGCTTTTTAGAGAATATAAAAGAACTGGTAAATAGATTTGTTCTCGTTTATACGACGCAGAAATAAATAAGTATTGTATTTTCAGAGAAAAAGATTTAGTCGATAAAGCTAATATTGCCCAATTTTATTCTTTTTTAAAGGCAAAAACCAAATGCTTTAGTTCTGTTGCATCAATATTACGACCAGATGCTTCTCGTAGCGCAGATGATTGAGAAAAACCACACATTTTAAATAATTTTTTCACTTCTGTTTTTGTTACAGATAATGGTATTTTACCTGTCTAGATGTGCCAACACACTCAAGCTCTTTGTAGTGTTTCCATACAGCTCTGAAGTTTCATCCCAACAAAATCTTCGATCAAGGTCCTCTAAATTACCAGATGGATACCCAGCAATACTTCTAAAATTAATCGAAAATGTTATTGCTATTCCTCTTTCCCTACTGTTTGATTTGCCAAATGTCAAAAAAAGCCACACCTTTAATCTTGAAAACCGCTATACTGTGTCCCATTTTTGAAAAGTAGAAACATGATTTTAAAAATAAGTAGAAACATACTCGTTTCTACTTATTTTTAAAATCCTTCATCAGTAACGATCTATCTTGTCTGAATTTTTTACATTTGCTCCTTCTTCCTATCTTACATGATGCCATGTCCAAAAATGTAATTCACGTATTAAATGTAAAAATGAAGATTTTTCTACAGTGAAAAAGTCATCAAGATATGGAGTTCTCTAATAGAATTTGTGTTACGGTGTTTAAAAGCGCAAGAAAATTCTAGATGGGACCAAATTTATTGCTGTTTGTAAGTTTGATGTCCTACCCTATTCCAAAATAATGGAATACCAAAGTCATTTTGACTTAGGTATTCCATTATTTTTTAAGTTTTCAATGATTATTTATATAGCGTAGAATTTCCACCAACAGGAAAATTTTGGTGGAGAACAGAAATAAAAAAGTACCCAATCACTCAACCTAGTTTAGACAAATTCAAAAACTTAAATTGAATATTAGAAAAAAAATTATATCCTTGACAACCATAACTTAGGTTTTAAATGAAATGAAATAGATGTAAATTTATTTTTGTTTAATGCATTTTCTTCTGTTTGAATTTTGAAAAAATTTCTTGATTTTTTTTTTTTTTTACTTTCACTAAATTAAAGAAAATTAAAAAACGTCATTTTGGACATGATCAAAAGAGCTAGAACTTTTAAAAAGTATATTAGTCCTTAAATTTCAAAATAAACATGTTTTTTTTTCACTCCAACTTATAAGAATCTCCACTTAATAATAAAAGTAAACAAACAAATGGTAGTATTGAAATATTGCACATCCTAATAAATATTGCACATCCAGTTATGTCACATAATTCTCAAAAAATTAGCCTTAAAAACAGTTTAAATCGCTTTACCTGCTACACTTGTATTATATTACCTATTGTAACTTTAAATATTTTTATCTTAAATTATAGAAAAACTTTTTATCACTCAATATAAAATATTTCATAATCTAAAAATACAGAATATTTTCTATAAAAGAGTTTACACAAAAAGAAACTTACATACAAACTAAATATAAGATACAAAAATAGAACTTTAAACATGTCAAGAACTTAATACAAGTATTACAACGAAGACATTGTGTGACGCAATTATTATACGAAAAATTAACAGACATAATGCAAATAATATACAAATAAAACACTGACCAGATATAGTAATTTACACAATTAAAATCAGTAATTAGGCAACTAGTGCAAAAACATTTGTAATCGAAGACATACGACTTGAAATAAATGAAAAAAAAAAGGTTTTTTAAACATTATAAACAATTATTAAACCTAACATAAATTATATTTTGGATGGTGATTGCAAACAATTTAGCCTGGAACGATAAAGTGTTTGTAAAGTGTTTTTAAAGAAATGATATTAATTATAAAACTTAAAACATTATATTTCAAAAAAATTAGAAAAAAAAAAGTCGGATTCCCTATTTGTTATACCACCCCTCCATAAGTTATACTAAGGTATACTATAATTATACACGATATATCTCTTTTTATAACTATCTTTATAAATAAAAGAAATTAACATAAAATCTTCTGCTTTGAAATTAAGATCTTCTTTTCATTTTCGACATTTTCGACAATAACTAAGTAACAGTAACTGTAACTAAGCAACAGTAACTGTAATGGGAATTAAAACTACCATAATTTTTTGTGTTGATGGTATTTAATTTTATACCTGTTACTGCGTTGCATTTAAATGTATTTTATTAAAATCCGACTTTTTTTCTTGTGTTATTTTAGTAAAAATTTAAATTATTAGTGTAGTTTTGAACTTTTTAATTTTGTTTGTAATGTTTAATTTTAGTTAAATATTATGATATATAACTGCATAAAATCTTACTGTAAATGATTAAAAACTTCAATTGCTAAAATTTAGTGGATGTTGCAGTAATTAACTAAAGTCACTATAATTCTATGGCGTTGCAATAATTCTACCTATATCTCTTATTTTGTCCATCAATTTTGGACCCTGCTGTGAGTCAACTATTGGAACGCTCATTTTGCTTCTTTCGATAGCCTTATCACTTTGTACTTTGAGAATTGGGTCTTTCTTATTGTCTAAAACTTTTTCAGCTAAATTGCTCAAATCTCGTTTTTGTAGTTCTACGCTTTTTATGATATTATCCAAAGGATTTATGTTTGACATTCTTTGAATAGCAGCTGTTAATGTACTATCAACCGGAATGTCGTGAAAAACTGGGTTAGCGAGACTTGCAAGAAATTGCTCTTTTTCAATTTCTTTGTTGGTCAACATTGCATTTGATATATCTGCTTCATATGGATGACTTTGTATAAAATAGTTTTTTATAGTTCCAACATCAACTTTAGGTTCCGCTTTGGGGTTTAAAAGCATATTATTTGGTAAATGCAGAAGACTGTTTGGGTCAGCGTTAGTTATTGTAAAAGGTGATGTTGCTTGAGACGAAACTTCTTTATTAATTGCTTCGTTTATGTCACTTCGTTGAGCAATGTTTTGTTGAGGAAGCGTTTCATGAAAAAATTGTGGAGAAAATATTTTGAGATTTGTAACTTTATGTCCGTCGGGAACAAACGATTTTTTTTCTAAAAACCCAAATCTGTTAAACATTTCAACACTCTCTGTTGCCTGATGACTCCTAGAGCTAGGATCGGATATTAAAGACCCCGTTGATAAACCAGGGATAACTTTAGGTAAATTAACTAAAGATTCATGACCAGTTTGAGGAAGTGACTGGTCCGTTTCGCCATTTAACAAATTAATTTTATGAAATAAAGCTAAATTTTCAGGTATAACTTTTCGCTTTGTAATCTCAGGTTTTTCATTTGATTTTGCATCTTTTTCAAAATTGCTAACTTTTGCGTTGTCTTTTGAGACAACAACGGGTAGCAATGAGGAAACTTTCAATGGTTCTGCTGCTTTAACTGGTGCTTGTTGAGTCATAAACAGTTTTATTGTATTTGGTATAATGTTAGATTTTGGTGCCGGCTTTACGCCAAAACTATTTGATCTCCATTTGTCCATTATACCTTCTGCAGTTGCAGCCTAAAAATATTTTTAAACTATTCAATATTGTATTTTTTTACTGTTTAAATTTTGGTATACGTCATATTTATTTACAAAAGTAACTATGGCAATAAAATTAACTTAAAAACCTCTTTAGCCGTTGTTGGCTTCGAATTTCTCATTGAATTTAAAGCATACATATATGCTTGCTGTTGAATTAAATCCTGAGTAGCAAGTGCAACTCTTTGCAACGGCGCTAAAAAAAAAGAAAGTGTTATTTTATTTTAAAACTTTGAAATATATATATATATATATATATATATATATATATATATATATATATTTAAAACAATTGAGAATTAAATACTTGTATTGGCAAGCTTTTTTGCGACCTCTTCTCCTTTCTTACAAATCTTCATTTGTTTTAAATAGTCCATGAGAATCATCTCTCCATCTGAATATTGTTTCACTAAGCTACTGCATTTGTCAGGTATGTTCTTTGGAATAACTAGTGCTACATAATTAAAATTATTTTTAGAAAACTTATAAAAAATAATTACTTTTATCTTATTAAAAAAAAAATGTTTATATTGTATATTTACCAGCTGTTTTGTTTGTCACAGTTTTCACGTTTTCTTTCAATGATTCTAAAATTTGTTAATGATTAACTCTTTAAATACATAGAACAACTTGAAATAATAATTATTAAAAACAATTATTAATAATGTTATGAAAAGACATATTTTAAATCATTTATTATTTTAAAAATGTGAAGGTTGTTCTAAAAAACTATAAAAGGTATCAAATAGAAAATCTTCCTAAACATACTAGTTTTAAAAAATTGTTGCCCTAGTCTGTTTGTGTTGTTGTCCCAGGCAGTTTTTTGGAATAACAGTTACTTTCTATTTCATTTTTTAAAATCAAGTTAAGAAAACACACTTTTAATCCAAAGATAAAATAAAAATGTTTGTTGCATAGTGTAATGTTATAACCACAATTAGTAGTAAACACAACTAATTTATGATATCCACAATTGTAATATTCTATTAATAAAAAATACAACAAATTGTAATAATCACAAATAAGTCATTTGATTACAACAACAAAAACCTTTTTCATTTATCTTCTTCTTAACTTTGCAGAAAACCCTCATACATGTAGTATATCATACTTGTAACCAAGAACAGGATATATACTGGATATACAAGTATATCATACTTGTAACCATGAACTGGATAATGCAATAACAACAATCCTCCACCCATCAATCATTCATAATGTTCTAAATAAGCTGTTTTACAACGCCTTGTTACCAACGCCTTGACCTTTAATTCTTTGAAGCACTGGTCTAAGAAAGTGTCCTAGGTTGTTCATGTAATCTTTTGGAACCACTATCCTTGTTATTCTTGTCACGCTCTTCATATTTCACTTATGTTTTAATTGTTTCTATAATTGATCTACATAGCTTAACAAAGAAATAATTATGCCATCTGGCATTTTAACCAAAGGTTTGCTACAATTCTGAAACATTTTAATATATATATATTTTTTTAAACATCTTCGCTTCCAACAAGGCTGCAAGCAACCACTAATTAGTGTTAGAAGTTACTGGAAGAGAAAAGATGAAGATTGTAGAGTAAGATAACGATTGACAGACAACTTAAAAGATTGCAAATTATATTAATCAGGAAAGCAAGATGAAGGAAGCGAATTCCAAAGAACTGATGTTCGAGGGAAAAAACTAGACGAATAAGAGTTTTTGGAGCACTTAGGAACAGTAACAGAAAAAGCATGACACTTAATTGAATGACAAGTAACACGAGAATGAATTTTAGTAGATGGGACAAGAGACGCTAGCTCTTTAGAGCAATGCCCATTATAGTATTTGTAGAAAAGAGAAAGAAAATCAACATTACGACGATGTGACAAAGGTTGTAGATTGGCTGCTATGGTACAACCATCCAAATAACATATATGTAATCCATCCAAATAGCATATATATAATATGGTACAACTATCTAAAGTCAATTCTTTGTAGTTGATATTTCCAATTGCTGATATAATAAAATCTAACTAATATATTCCTTACCCCTACTTTCTGGGTCTTTTACTTAAAAAGACATAAACTGGGTCTTTTACTTAAAAAGAATTTTAATTCTAGTAACACCTGAAAGCTTTTCATTAATTTCAATGCCAATTTTAGGATCTAAAATCAACAATAGATTTCTTAATTTTCTACCATATAAAAGCTGAAGAAAAAAATGTAATGCTAGATGATACTTAAAGAAAAACTGATCCAATTTTGTTTCAATATTTCCTATTTCCTATTTCCATTTCCTAGAAACATTTTTTAACAGGTTCTCTTATGATTTTACCTTTAAAAGCTTCTTTGCTATCTCTACTTTACTTTCAAATTATGTTTCTCCTCCAAAAATAGTGCACCTGCTCAGTAATTGAAACTGCCCTAGGTATGTTAGCATTTTAATAGTTGGCTATTCCTAAAATTGCCTTTAACTTTTTAATAAGTCAAAAAATATTAATGGCTGCTTCCATATTATTGGTCTACAACCTTGGTTGATTATAAAACCACAAAATATTACCTAAGTTGGTTAAAAAAAACTTGTTACCTTGGTTGCATGAAAAAGCTCTAAAATAATTCTTGAAAAGATTCTTTTAACATTCTTAATACAGATTCTAATTTGTTTAAATGCTGCGTGATATTTGCAGAAATGTATGTAAGTCTACTTAAATCTTTACAAACTGCAACCTTCCCAACAGGGTGTATAAACAGGGTGTTGACTTTTTGGTTCCAGTTTCCTGTATAAAAAAAAAGAACTTTGGTTCGAAAGTAACTGAAAAAGTCATTGGTTTTATTTAATTTTTAAAACAGGTCACCCACCATGACCCTTGATTACAAGCTAGGTCTCATATATAAGTGAAATTGTTAGCTTGTTATCAAAGGTCATTGTGGGTAACCTGTTTCGAAAAGTAAATAAAACCAATGACTTTTTAGTTATTTTCTAACCAAAGTTTATCTATATTTTATACAGGAAACTAGAAATACCCGAAAGTCAACATCCTACTCCCCAATATTATGTCCATTTCTTTTTGAAAAATGCCACTATGAACATTAAACTGAAGTGGAGTCAACTAATACAAACCTTTATGCGTATTTATTGCCAGAAATTCTTGTAAAGTTTTATTTAACTCAAGTTGCTGGTAAACCTGGGACAAGTCAAGATTCATGCATTTCTGTTCTACTGCAATAGTGGCTGATCAGTTGTGTTTGCTACTGGATAGGTATACAGAGGGAGGCTGTTTTGTTTCATTTGATTTTATTTTCCTAATGGGCCAGTAAGATTATTTAAATCCTTCAGAACAGTCACTAAAAATGTTGCCCATTTGAACACCAGAACTTTCACCAAACCAAGCAATCAAGTTTTTTTTTATTTCTAAACTTAAAGTATAAGGCTAATTTGCTTAATTTCAAAAAGTTTGGTTGTGCACCCCTGCGTACAGGTATGTAGCACTTTCAAGCACACTAAACAATCACTAAAAACTTCTGAAATTTGTTTCTACTAACACTTTCTACTCTTGACTCAACTCTAATTTTTCTGTAATTTTGACTTTTCTCATTCCTTACACAATTTTAACCAATCCAGATTTAGTCTCTGTTATATTACAGTTATAGGCTGCAACATTGTCCTTTATAATCCATTTCAACAAGCCTTACTCCTTCTGGTTTCCTGTGTATTTAACACTGCCTCAGTTCTTCCTAATATTACTTAATTCCCTAATTTCCAAATTCTTTTTCACTCTTCTGTAGACTGAAATACTAATTACAACTTCTGTAGACTGGAATACTAATTACAAACACAGCAGCCCCTGTGTCAAACCTACTTACTTTTGATTTTTCCATTAACAACTAACACTATCACTTTTTGAGACTCCTTGCGTTATAAATACAAGGTTCAAAAATAAACTTTATTGATTTCTCCAAAACCTTACTTTGTTTCACTCCTAAATATCTCCCTTTCCTACTACCTCTTTCTCTCCTTCAGCTACATCATTTTTGCCAAACTTCAAGCTCTAAAATCATGGACTGCAACACTGGAAATCAAAGATTTTACCTTGGAAATTAAAAGAGAATTTTTAAAAAAACTTCTAGCAACATTAAAAAATCAGTATCATTCTTATCTTCTTTGATTAATGAAACTAATGAAAAATTAATTAACAAATGAAAGTAAATACAAACAAAAGTTATCTCTAAATTAAGTAGCACATGAACGGAAACAAAGACAACAGAAAGTACTGCGTGGTGGGATTAGAAGGTAATTATAATACAAATAAACAGGTAGCAGACAAACTCATCACAAAGCTGTTAGTATCAATACATCACATATCGTAAAAGTCAGAGGTTTTAATTTCAAAAAGCCTAAAACAGAATTCAGAAAAAACTCATGCAAGTCACAGTTAAAAATTTTAAAACACATGCTCTGATCTTGTTTAAAGCTGAATATCACGGTCTCATCACATCTGAATACAAAGATATGCTTGCTAGAGAAGATCGAATGGAGGCAGAACAGTACAAACTTAATAAATTGAGTTGCAAAAAATAAGAGCGAAATAATAAACGTGTGAAAATAAAGCTGATGTTTTGTTTAGTCAACACTTAAACTGTGTTGAGCCAATCGATGCAAAAAGTCAATTACCCACCTAAGATCAGTCTTTGTCTTCATCAAGAAATTATAGACGCTATTGCTAGTGTTAAAAAATCACAAATCACAACAAACAATGTTATTAAAAGTTCACCCCTAGCTAGAACCAATGTAGCATCAACCTCAATTATCCTAGACAGTAAAACAAACATCCTAGACAGTAAAATTATCCTAGACAGTGAAACAATCAACAACAACAACAGTAAAACCATCAACAAAAACAACAGTAAAACCATCAACGACAACGACAATAAAACCATCAACGACGACAGTAAAACCATCAACAATGACAATAAAACCATCAACGACGACAGTAAAACCATCAACAACGACAGTAAAACCATCAACGACGACAGTAAAACCATTAACGACGACAGTAAAACCATCAACAACGACAGCAAAACCATAAAGCCTCAATATTTAAAAAAAATGCTTAACTTAACTATCACATTTTAAAAGAAGTTTTCTTGTAATATCTTATCAATCTGAATTATCTAAAACCTATCCAGTAAATGTTGTAAGAAACATCATCTTTTGGGCAAACAACTCATGCTTACAAAATCAAATAAAACTGACAAGTTGAAAGTTAGAGAGTAATCAACCATCAAGAATAAATGCCCAAGCTATATTTTCTTTGCTGAGAAGTGGTTGAGGTTTCAGTCACTGCTATTGAACAGTATAACATTCATATATAAAACAAAGCTGGAAAGATAAGAGGAAATGCAGCTACCTACATCAAAGATGAAGTCAAGAGCATGCTCACAAATACTGAACTATTTAACAAAAACTCTATTGAACAGCTATGGATAAAGCTGAATTTAGAAAAAGAATCACTCTTTCATGTGTGTATCTAACGAGTATCACATAAAAATAAGCTAGCACTCCACAATTACCAAATTAATTTAGATTGCTACAGAGTCCCTAAAAAAAATTTGGTGTGACTCCTTATTTCTATATGGTGACTTCAATTTCAAATACATAAGTTATAAAAGTGATAATGCTAGAATAGATGTTACAACAGCAGTCAACATTTTGACTAAAAGCTTACCTGTCATTAAGTCTTGTTTAGAAAAAAACTTATGCAGCTTTCCCAATCTTTTGGAATTCATATCTTAGGATCAAAAGTCTATCTTAATTATAGTGTGAGCCCGATTAATTAACTTAACTCAAGTAGAACTGTTGGGATTGGTCCAAAAGGTTCAAAAGGACAAGATTATCTAACTATTGGTAGGTTCAATGGCAACAGCAATAACAAATAAAACAACAAATTTTTCTCAGTTAATTTAGAGCAGAGCAAACTACTCTCAAACTTTTGAAGACTGGAAAACAGTATTTAAAAGTTGAAAAATATACTATACTAATATTTTAGGGGCCAAACAATATATTTTAGGGTCAAGGTTAAAGGTTTTACACTAATTTATTTTAGACCAGTTCATTTAATGAGAAGTTGTTTTCAACAAAACAAAAATTAAAAATAATTTTACAATAATAATGACTTATTGAGCCATAAAAAATTGTCTGAGATATGATGTTCTTTGGTAAACATAAATATTTAGTTGATTGCCTCAATAAATCAAGTAATTTTGTTTATAAGCCACCTTTTGATTTAGTTTTTAAAGAAGCTAAATTGTGATGATGAAAGGTGGTTCAAAGATGTTTAATTTATGGGAGATTTTTATTTTATTTATAACAATGACTTATTAAGTCATAAAAATTATTAAGTCACTTATTGTAATGATGTTTATATTGATTCTTTTTTTTTAATTTTTAATTTATTGTAATGATGTTTATATATTTTTTGTTTATTTTAAATACAAAAATTACTTTAATTTAAAAATCTATAATTAAAACAAACCAATCATTAGCAGCTGTATTTTAAACAAAATCTATCTTCATATAAAATCTTATTTTTACTTACTAGTTTTAACAGGAACCTTTTCGACTTTTGGTTGAACTGGTAGACTTACATTCTTACTAGCAATTAGTTCTTTATCTTCATCTTCTGGTTTTTTTTCTTCAGCACTATATATCCTTGAAAGATCATTTTGTGTTTCAATAGATTTGTTAAGAAGAGCAGCTGCTTGTTTGGTGATATCAGAGCGGCTTGCACCATTGTGAAGAATCTGTATATATAAATATACATTTTAAAACATGATAATAAAATTATGGATTATAAAATCAATTATTGCAATAATTTTAATTCAAATAATTTATTGTTATTTGTTTTTCTTTTACATAAAATTATCAAACAAGTTTTTGATAATAAAAAAAGTCAAAGCAACATCAAGTACTTTAAATATGCAAATATATTACATAGAACATAGTCTGTAATTTAAAGATTGAATAAAATACAATGTACAGTGTTTACTGTTAAAAAGACCGCCATTACTTTATGCCTTTTTATACAACTGTATTTTTTAATAACATTTTAAATCAATTTTATATGATCTTTACATATATGTATATCTCACTAGAGTTCTACTTACAGTGACAAGTTTATAAAAAAAACAGATACAGAAAAAAATTAACAAGGACATTTTTGTGTACCTAATAATGTTTTCTATAAGAATTGTGTTTTAACAAGGACGTTTTTATGTACTTTTGTGTATTTTTGTGTATTTTTGTTTTCTATAAAAATGTTTTGCTCAAAAAAGTAATAAACAACTTTTATAAAAAATAAAACTGACTTAAAGAAACATGCAAGAAGTCATTGACTGAGGGTGAAGGTTGGGGGTTAATTTTATGGTTTTAAATATCATATTTAAAACCATAAAATTATTTAAAAATAATTTTATGGTTTTAAATATGATAATATTTTTAATTTTCTAAGATGTTTTTAGTTATCTAATGAATACATTTTAACACATAAATATTAATTATTATTATTACTTAAAAAGTCATTATTTGTATGTGTGCACAAATAAAAAGTCCACAATTTTTTACCTAGACTATATATTGACAGAGTGCTTGGATAATCATAATGGCATAATTTGAGGCACAGTTAATGGGATGAAGATGATGGTTTAATCCCCATAGTGGAAGCAAATTTTGGATTTTGATGTTTTATTTAAAAGTTGTTTTATATGTTTTAACTGATGCTGTAGATTAATTATAACTAATTATTTCTAACTTTTTAAAGTTTCACACAATAACAATAATCACTACATACATAAATGACTGATATGGCCATAGTCACAGTGTGGTTAGCTTGACTGACTTAAATATGTATGCGGGAAATGGAGTGTACATATATTCTTTTTTGCCCTCCTATAGTTTGATATAAAGTTGTTTAAGTTAACAGTGACTAATCAGACAAAAGATATAATTTATTTTTGATAAATATATTATTTAAATAACTTCTTTAACAATATGTTAGTGTTGCGGTGTAGATTATATTAACATTATATTATTTTATTTCAACGCGTAATAACTATTGTTGTTTAATAATTATCATGTTATTATTTTTATTTAATAACTATATTATTGTTAATTATTTCTTAATCAATGATAAATCAGCTGTATCATTGACTAATAAAGTTGTAGATGTAGCGGACTCTACAATATTTTATCAAAATCTACGTCATTTTATAAAAAGTAAATTTCAATTAATGTTAAATTGTAATAGCCACAGACGAGTGTTCGAGGGTTTATAATTTTGAGTGTTCGAGGGTTTATGATTTAGGCTAGACACTCATTTAATCAATAGAAAAAATTTTCTACATTTGAAACTTGAAAAAAAAAAATGTTTTGCCACAAAACTGAACAGTCATCATAAAATTTCTAACCTCTCTCCCCCCTTCCTAACATATGACCTAATTTAGAACAATTAACAACAAATAACTGATTTTTTTGTTCAGAGTCCATATCTTTACTAACAATCTTTACTCTAGATTGGGCTCTATTTCATTTAAACTTGTCAATCTTGACTTTACTAAATGATGCTAAACTTTTCTTTATTAAATGTTATTAATATCAGTCACTTGATGTGACTGATATTAACATCATTTAGTTAAGAGCTGCTTTTAGGTTTGAGGAAAACTAGTTTCTGACAAGTTACATAGCAAAACTAAGTTTAATTAAGTTGTATTTTGATAGCAAATCTTTTTTTTTTAGTTGCCATTCACCTTAATCTTAAATCATTATGAAAAAAAATGTTTTTCATTTAATTTACAAAAAATATTAAACAAACCAAAAAAAAATTAATTATTTATTAAATGAACTGCTAATTTCTTCAGATGAATTTTCACATGAAACAAGAGATTTTGTTATATCAAGGTTAATATGTTAACCTTGTGAAACATGTAGGATATCAACATTGGGTTGATGAGTATTCAATTATATTTCAATGCAATGCAAACATACGATTAAGAATGTTTCGTCAGCCCAAAAATAACACCATCATTTGGCCTCAGTTGTGCTGCTTAGAAAAATTATTATTAAAGTATTGATTTCATAAGAACTATTTCATAGAACTAAAACATACACAGAGCAAGAAGAAGAATATGGCTTATGTCAACTCTCTTTTAAACTTTTCACAGCAGTTTTTTAAAACTTAGTTCTGATAATTTCATTTTATATAAATATTATCAAAAATGTTTCCCCAGAACACATCTAAAATTCTTTCTCATGAAGTCTTGAAAAACTCTTTTTTTTTATCTGAAAAAAAATGCTTTAAACCTTTAAGAATACTTTTATTGTCATTTCTTTTATGATTGTTTTTGGAATTGTGATTTTTATAACAGGACATTTCATAAGATGCTTTTGATTTAAAATTGCTCCTGATTATTATAATATATTAAACATCTTTACTAATATCTTTAATACTTTTATTTATTTATATAATATAATATCTTTAATTAAAGTTTAATTATTACTTCAGATAAAAAAGGTGACTTGACAACTTTTGATAGAATAAAGAGTTATTTTTTTATTTACCAAACTTGAGAACTGTTAAGAAGTTTTAAGACAATAATGCAATGAAAAAATCATTTTACCACCCTGCTAGAAAGAATCAAAAATTGGTTGACAAGTTTAAGGAGACAGACAGTGTTCATGATCAAGAAAAATCTGCTTTCATTTTATCTATACATTAAATTTATTTTATCTACACAGTCAAAGAAATTGAAAATTAATCATTTTAAAAAGGGCGCTATTAAAATGGGAACGAGTGCAATCTTCTATAATCATGTTATTCAAGAAGCTTTTGATCATTATCATGAGTTAAGTGAAGATAACTTACAAGAATAAGTAAGATAAAAACAAGAGGGACTTTATGGTTCTAAAGCTTTTGTATTTCTCAATCTCTTATTTAGATAACCTCTTACTTAGATAATTAACTTTGTAACTCTTAACTAACTATAATAACTTACCTTCTCTCTTTGATTTGTGTCTTGTCATTGATCCTTTCCTATGCTCAGTTTTTGCTTGCCCACCTTTAAGTGGTTCAGTTTATACTGTGATCTTACTAAACCTCTTTTCTTATACTTCTTTTGCATCAGACCTTAACATTTCTTATTAATACTATTAGGCTAATTGGAATATATAGTTTCTACTCAAGCAAACAATTTTCTCTTTCTCTTAATAAAATATCTTTTATGATTTTTCAGTTATATGCATTTACAGTTACAACTTGCATTCTTTATGTTAAAATAACTTTCATTCATTTAACTTTTTCTTAATATTGATTTGATAGTCTGTCCTGTTTGTAATTTTTCCTGATTCTAACAACTTACAGATTTTAAATCTTTTATTGATTGCTTTCTTCTTTAACTCCATTTTTTCAATTTCTTGTAGCTTCTCACCTAAATTGTGGTTACCTGCAAATACTGATAAGAATTAGTTTTTTAAAATGCAAAAAAGTTCTAAAGAAAAACAGAACAAAGATTGTTTCTTTTTCAAGACTACAAGGTGACAAAGCATAAATGTATAAAATCGTTCATCTTATTTATTTAGTCAATGATACATATTTACCTCAATTGATCAACTCCATTACATGGACTGTGCTAATGTGCATCATTAAAAAAGTGAATACTCTTATATCAAAATTTTATATGACTTCCTGTATTCATTTGATTAAATCTGTTTTCATTTTGTGAAATTTTTGTTTTAGGAGTGATATTTGTTTCAAATTAGGCCCATGTGCATATTTTTAAAAACCAAAAAGTCTAAAGAAATACATCATTACTTTGAATTTATTACTTTATAGTAACGTAAACAATAAATTTTTATTAATTTTTGCTAAGTTTGCAAAACTTTATAATAATGTAACATTGGTAACGCCAAGCAAACTTCCATAACTGAGTTTACTTTGCAAAGAAAACTAAAGGCATTTTATTCCTTAAAAAAAATGTTCATAAATTTTATAACTAGTTATATACACTTTGTTAAACTTATTAAAAACATGTTTTTAAAAACAAAAAAATTATTTGCTAAAGGAATTATTTTTTACAAAAACTTATTATCATTAAAAAACTGAAAAAAAATATTTAAACCTATACTTTTCTACATATTTATTTATACTGTTTGTAAAAAGAAATGTCCATTTTCAAAGTCATGAAAAAGTTGGTTCAGAAATCGAAACTTTGATCCTGTGAAAGTAAAAACAACAAGAGATCCTAATATTCTTTGAAAATAGTTCACAAAATTTTATTTTATCGGTTAATTAACTTACCTTAATATACACATTTTCATGAGGTTTTTTATAGCATAAGCTATTGTAATATTTTAAATTCAAAATGGCTGAACTTGTTTTTCAAAATATTCAGTACAATTCCATACAGACTCAAATAAAAAATTTTTTAGGAAAACTGAGTTTCTTCAGTGCAATAAAACAATAAAATTTTAAATAATACTTATATCAAAAATGATATCTTTAAAAATACATGACTCAACATTACAATAAAAAGTTTTTAAAAAACTTAAGTGCTGCAGGTCTTTTTTTTTTTTTTTTTGTTAATTCACCTCCTCAAGGCAGAAAAGGCCATTAGAGACAACGAGGCAAACTTATTTGTGGTTATAACCCTCTCTCTATAACGCCAAAACACGAACCTTGACGAAGGCCGATGCGCAGAGAAACCAATTGAGCACGGTACTATCAGGGACGTGGTAGGGATCAAACTCGGAACCTCTTGCTTATGAAGCGATCACTCTACCACTACACCACTACCGTTATAGTTATATATATACCGCTATTTTAGTTTTAACTATGCAAATAAACAAAAAAACCATCAGAAAAACTGAAGAAATGTGTTTAGCAGTTTATCAGAATTATCAGATGCAACTCAGATGAGTCTTAGGGCTTTCGTGATCACGTTACGAGCAGGGCCGTACCAACTCGTAATACAGAATGCATGTTTTTGTCTTTACAATGACTGACGAAAACACTAGCAATACAAAACTACTTAAAAAAACTGCAATGCAATGTTACAAGTGTTTAACTTATAGAGTGATATCAGCTAAGTTTGAAAAAGAACAGTGAACATTTCATTAACTTTGAATGCAAAGAAATGTTTTTTTTAATTTAAGAATACAGTGGAGGTTTTTAAAAACCTAGAAAATGTCTGCTTATATTCTAGAAATAGATAAAACTCTATAGATTAATTCATTTTTGTCTACACCAGTCTAAAAATTAGCTTAAATTAAAATATTACAAAAAATTAAAACATAAACTTTATTTAAAACAGAAATTTAATTATTTCTCTTGAGGGTACATTTTTTAGAACACACTTTAGAAGATTTTAAAATAATTATACTTCTTTCTTTGATTATAATTCTTTCTTTTGTATTATTCACTTTATATTTTTCTTTTATTCAAAATTTTAATTTTTGGGCTTATCTAAATAATATTTTTTTTTTTTAGTAATCTGATAAGTAATATTCAATATGTATGGTTAGGCGTTTTTTACAGACACACCTGTTGTTCCCATAATATTTATACTTTTTTAAAAAAAAAGCTTTTGCTCATATGCTTTAACAAAAAACAGTAACAATAATTAGCTATAAAAAAGTTTAAGACTTTATAAACTTTAAAACTGTCATTACACTACAGGTCATCAAAAAATTCTATAGTTTACATTAGTCAATACTGAGAATAACCTTTTTAATATTTTATAAACTGATTTAAAAATTTCTAAAAATATTATTTTGCTGTTGAAAAGTTGAAACAAGATAAAATCATTATGATGACATCATAGAATATATAAACTTACATTTGGGTGCAAGACTTTTACAAACTTATGATAAAGTTCAAAAATGATGATAATGTCAGTTTAATATTTGATGAGAAAAGAGATGAAATGATGATAATGAAACTTTAATTTTTGATAAGCATTAATTAAATGATCAAAAAAAAAGTTTACCTGTAAAAGATCTTTAACAGGAATGTGAGAGTCTTTTGCTATTTTTTCAACAATGCTTGTATTGTTTGCAATAAATTCCCAATTAATATGTTTCAAAGCCAGCTCTGTTTCTTTATGATTATTCTGAATTGTGAAGAAGAAGATGAAGGACCTTTGTTTTCTTACACTTAACATGTGTTAATTTTTTTGTGAATCACATTATTCAAAATTTGTCACAACATGTGTCATAATGTGCATGGCAAAATGTATGATATTTAAAAAAATGAAAGGTATTGCAATTTGTAAAGAAAGTCTATTTTGCATAGTAAGACTATAATAAAGTGTGATAATTGTAAGTGCACAACTATTGTGATGTAACTGTTGTGATGTAACAAGTGATAAATAAGAGAAATTACAAATATTACTCACATATTTTAATAAATTTTAAATATATATATATATATATATATATATATATATATATATATATATATATATATATATATATATATATATATATATATATATATATATATATATATATATATATATAGCAGAGTTATATTTATGACACATTTTTTTGTTTATATTTATAACATTGTAACTATTTTAATCTCTTTATATTACTTACTGTACCCTTACATATTTTCTTATAGATTTTCATAGGATCTACCTTATATATTTTCATAGGATCTACCTTATTATTTTTTAGGCATTGAAGGTTTAATTAAATTTGATTGATATATATTCATGTATATATATATATATATATATATATATATATATATATATATATATATATATATATATATATATATATATATATATATATATATATATATATATATATATATATATGTATGCATGTATTAATGTATAATAATATATTTTGGTTATACATTATATGCAAAATTTAAAAAAAAAAATATTTTAATTATTATTATCAATTTATATATTGATTACCTCCTCTTTATTGGTTGAACTTTTTTTTTTTGCTTTCTCGTGTTTTTTATGGTGGTGCCGATGATGGTGGTGATGATGATGGTGGCGATGATGATGTTTAGCAGAATTTTTAACTTTTGATCTTTTAATTGTTGTATTATGAACTTTTATATTTGAAGCAACATCAGCTTCATTACCAGACCCTGAAACCTCAGAATCTTCTCCTTCTAATTCTAAAATTTAATTTTTTCAAATTTAAATTCAACTTTATATTTATAAGTTATATATATGAACAAATTTTGTTAATAATTTTAAAATATTTATCAGGTTTTGTTAATTTTTTTATAACTATTCTTCATAATAATATATGTATTATTAATATATTCAATTAATATATTCAATATATTAATATATTTGTATTGTATTCGATGAACATTTTAATTGCTGTGTAATCCAATAGACAAAAGAGAATTTTAATAGTTATGAAAAAAAATTATTATTAACTATTATAAACTGTTAACATTGTTTTTATATATATATATATATATATATATATATATATATATATATATATATATATATATATATATATACATATATATATATATATATATATATATATATATATATATATATATATATATATATATATATATATATATATATATATATATATATATATATATAAGCTGTTACAGTCTGACATCTACTGTTGTTAGACTCACATATATATATATATATATATATATATATATATATATATATATATATATATATATATATATATATATATATATATATATATATATATATATATATATATATATATATATATATAAGCTGTTACAGTCTGACATCTACTGTTGTTAGACTCACATATATATATATATATATATATATATATATATATATATATATATATATATATATATATATATATATATATATATATATATATATATATATATATATATATATATATATATATATATATATATAAGCTGTTACAGTCTGACATCTACTGTTGTTAGACTCACATATATATATATATATATATATATATATATATATATATATATATATATATATATATATATTTTTTTTTTTTTTTTTTTTTTTTTTTTTTTTTAACATCTTCACTTCCAACAAGGCTGCAAGCAACCACTATAAGAGTTGGAAGTTACTGGAAGAGAAAAGACTAAATCTGTAGAGCAAGATAACGATTGACTGATGACTTAAAAGATTGCAAATTATATGAATCAGGAAAGCAAGATGAAGGAAGCATTTTCCAAAGAACTGATGTTCGAGGAAAAAAACTAGAAGAAAAAGAGTTTTTGAAGCACTTAGGAACAGTCACAGAATATATATATATATATATATATATATATATATATATATATATATATATATATATATATATATATATATATATATATATATATATATATATATATATATGTATCACATATGTATATATGTATCACACACACACATATATATATATATATATATATATATATATATATATATGTATCACATATATTGTAAAGAATAACCATATTAATTATGTTGGCTCAAAAGAGCTATAATTATACTAGTCTATAACAAAATAACACAATACATAAAGTATATAGAATATCATACAAAGCATATATATTTATATATATTCTCCATATTTCATATTATCATAACATTCACCCTCCTCTTAAAAGTGTTCAGGTGTATTTATAAGTTGAGTTTTTCTGGTGCTTTAGAAATTCGTGAAGATCTACGAGGAGGCAGAGTACTTTGCTCTATAGGATTCCCTCTGCTTTCTAGTTCCTCTTCGGAGACTAACGGAGTTTCATTGCTACCATTAGGGGTTAAGGGGTAGTTATCAATAGCTGTTATTTCTAAATTGTCATTTGATGTTTGTACTATAGGAGTTGTTCCGATAGGAGCCAGCTGTTTTGTAGACACTGTAGTCTCATGACCATTAGGAAATCTCACAATGGCATAATGAGGATTTGCTTCAATGAGCTGAGCCTCATTTACTGAATCTTCATATTTACTTTGCATTGCATTTCTTTTTATAAGTACAGGTCCAGGGTTAACAAGCCATGAAGGAATTGAAGACCCAGATGATGATCTTCTTTGAAAATTAAAAAAACGTTCATGTGGACTACAATTAGTAGAAGTACATAATAGAGATCTTGTAGCATGAAGTGCATCAGGCAAAACTCTTTTCCATGATGATATAGGCAGATTTCGAGATTTCAGAGTAAGTAATAACGCCTTCCAAATAATTCCATTGTATCTTTCAACTTGCCTATTTCCAGTCGGATTGTAAGGGGTTGTTCTACTAGTTGCGATCCCTTTTGATAAGAACCAGTGCTTTAATTCAGAAGACATTAATGAGGATCCACGATCTGAATGAACATAGCTAGGCATACCAAACATTAAAAAAAGATCAGCTAAACAGTTTATTATTGTCTGAGTTGTCATATCTTTCACAGGATAAGCAAATGGAAAACGTGAGTATTCGTCTACAATTGTTAGCATATACTGTTGAGGAGTTGAAGAAGGTAATGGGCCTTTGAAGTCAATAGATAAACGTTCGAATGGCTGAGTCGCCTTAATCAGGTGCACATCATTTGGGCGGTAGTACTTTGGTTTTATTTCTCTACATATTCTACAATCCCTACATATTTGTTTTACATCTTCTACTGAATAAGGGAGGTTTCTTGATCGAATAAAATGATGGAAGCGAGTAACACCAGGATGGCAAAGTGCAGCATGCAAATTATATAAAGATTCTGAACTTATTGCTGCACATTTAACTCGAGTAAATGTATCTGGACCACTATTACATTGGCCAGGACCATAATGGATATCATAAGAATATGGAGACAAAGCTATTCTCCAACGCATTATTTTATCATTCTTTATTTTACTGCTTGATTTATAATCATACATACACGCCACAGATCGTTGGTCAGTGATGAGAATGAAATGTCGACCCAAAAGAAAATGACGCCAATGATTTATGGCTTCAACTATCGCTTGAGCTTCTTTCTCCACTGATGAATAATATTGTTCACTCCCTTGAAGGGTACGTGAATGGAAGGCAACAGGTCTTCCATCCTGATTAAGTGTGGCGGATATGGCAAAATCAGAAGCATCAGTCTCCACAGTAAAAGGTATATTCTCATCAATGGTTTGCATGGAAGATTGAACAAGTTCATTTTTTAATGTTTCAAATGCTGATATTTGCTGCTGAGTGGAAATTGAGTAACAGAGTTTAAAGGTCTAATTTTATCTGAAAACTTTCTTATCCATTTTGCATAGTACGAAAACATTCCAATAATTCGCTGTAAAGACTTTTCATTATCAGGTGGGGGTAACTTGATGAGAGGAGCAAGTCTCTGAGGATCTAGTTTTAAAGAGCCATACGATATACGGTAACCTAAAAAATCTAAAGTCTTAGTTGAAAATACACACTTCTCTTCATTAAATGTAATTCCAGCATCAATGGCAGCTAATCTGAACTTAAGTAGATTTTCATCATGTTCTTTCTGACTATTACGGCATATTGTAATGTTATCAATGAAAGGAAAGCAGTCAGTTAGTTTATATTTTCTAACAAAGTCATCTATTTTGCGTTGAAAGCATGCAGATCCATTGGTAACTCAAAAGGCAATCTAGTATATTGCCACGACTTATTGTCAGCTTCAGAAGCAGTATATGGTCGATCTTTTTTTGATAAAGAGATTTGGTAGTATGCTGAGCGAAGGTCGAGAGTACTATAAATTTTGTATTTAGAAATTATATTCACAATCGTTTCAATCTTAGGTAGAGGATATGCATCTAATTGAGTATATTTATTAATAGTTTCAGAGTAATCAACAACCATGCGACGTTTAGTCTTTTCATTTACTACTAAGACCTGGGCACGTCAAGGTGAATTACTAGGCTCTATTATTGCTGCTTGAGTCAGGCGATGGATTTCAGATTTAATAAATTCTTTATCTCTTTGAGAATAATTTCTAGATCTAGTGGCAATCGGTCGACAATCTTGCGTGAGATTAGCAAATAATTCAGGAGGTTCAGTTTTCATTGTTATTAAAGCAGCAAATGCTATGGGTGGTCTTTTCCCACCATACTTGATGGTAATACTTTCATGCAACTCTTGAAAATCTGTGCCAAGAATAACATCTACACATAAGTTATCCAGCACATGCAACTTGACTTTGTTATAGATTTTGTTTTGAAGAGTTATTGAGACATAACAATATCCATCTGATTTTGCAGATAAGGCAGCTGATGCCATTCCAATTACACTCTGTTCATAAATAATATTTAAATGGAGGAGAGTCACTAGTTTGTTGCTTATAAAACTTTTGTTTGTACTTCCACTATCAATTAATGCTTCTGCTTTATATCTATCATTAATAATGATGTTATGACAAACTCTGAATAGAGAGTTTGCTGAAGCTGATATGGTGGCACAGAAGTAATCATCATCAATTTTAGGAATAGCAGCAGAAACATTAGATGATCTGCAAAGTTTTTCAAAATGACCAATCTTTTTACATTTGTGACAGATAGCTTCGCGAGCAGGACATTTAGTACATGGATGTCTTATGTTTCCACAAAACCAGCACAATTGTTTTGATTTTGCTGTAGCAGCTAAGTGATTATCAGTCATGGACTGTTTTTGTAAAGGTGATTTGATTTCCTGAATAGAGGCAGAGGTAGGTATAGTCAATTGTGAGTATAAGTTTGAGTTTTGTTGGGCCATGTCTAAAGATCTAGCTTGGTCAAAGGCTGATGAAAGGTCTAATATTTTGTTTTCTAGTAAACGTTGGCGTATACTATTGGAGAGTAAGCCATTTATAAACGCATCCCGAATCATTTTATATTTATATTGCTTAGCTGTAACAGCAGTAAACTTACAGTCCTTAGATAAATTTTTAAGTTCATTGAGGAATTGATCTATTGTTTCACTTGGTTTTTGCTTCCGTGTTGACAAAATGTGTCTGGCAAATATTTCATTCTTTGGTTTTATTTTTATTTGGTCATTCTTATGTAGATAGACTCGATAATACTTGTTGCTTGTTCAAAATCATCACACTCTGATATGAATTCATATACATTAGGTTCAATATGGTTTATTAGGAGATTAAGCTTAATGAAGTTATTATCTACTGTACTTACAAATTGTTAAATGTTCTTAACCAATGGTTGTATGTTT